TATCATCTTCAGATCAGGTCGTTTTCGGTCGTCAGTTTTTTTCCGATTCAAGCCTAAAATTCGAACATTTTCTGATGAAGTGTTGCTGGAGCGTTTGGTCCGAGTATCGCACTTTTCTGAGCAAAAATTTGTGCTTTAAAATCCGACGTTTTTGAGCGTTTGTTCCCGCATTACTGCGATATTTTTCGACAATAAACTCTTTAAAAAGCACTTCAAACACAAAATATACAACAAATATATCCATTTGCAGGTTTAGAGTGTTTTTGAGTCTAAATACTAAATCGGCACAACGCGAAAATACTCTAAACCTACAGATTGATCAGTTTTGACCAAAAAAATCAACTCAGGCCTCGGCACAACTTCGACATTAAACTTTCATTAAAAAGCTGATTAGGAAAGAATGACTAATAAATGTTGCAAACAAAGTGGACAAATAATGACTAAATGTGTAAAACAAGCACGCAAAGCTTTGGCTAACTACCGCACACCAAAAGAACTGAGTAGCACACAAACCTTCATAATCACCGATTTGCACTTGATTTTGTTGTGAATTGCCATAAAATGTAAATAAGTAATATTTATATCTTGGAAAATTCGATCGAAAGAGGGGAAAGAATGCAGTTCTAGCACTGATTTACATGAACAATGATTGTTCATGTAATCGGTGAGATCAGAGTAAAATCAACTAAATGAACTGCTTTGTTTCATTTTTTATAAGCCGCGTGAATTGTTAATTATCTGCGCGATATAAACAGGAACTATTTAGCCGCAAATAAAAATTTATGGTAGTCTTTTCAATTTTAGCCATTCTTTGTGCCGGTAGATTTCCAAGGAAAGTGAACTTTAACAGTCCATTTCCATCATCTGCGATATAAAAGTATGAATAATTTGGTTTTGCTTAAACTTTTGATAAAAGCCCATGTCATATTTGCAAGAACTGCAAGTCCTTCAATAAGCGAAAAATAATGGTAATAAGTTCTTCTTACTTGAGTGGAGCTGATTTATGTTCGTAATAAGTTGAAAGTTGCGGAATAAAGGAGAACAAATAAAGCGGTCGCCTTTTCAAGGTAAAGCCATTATGCAAGATTGTTAATTAAATATTAAGTTAAGCTCATTTTATTATTTGCTTTTTATGCTGACCGAACCATGACTGTTTGTTATCTATTCGCACCTTCGTCATTGGTACTTTTCAGAAATAATCCCAAGTTGTTTTCGAAGGAAATTTATACAATATGTCCGAAAATTTACGTTTCAAAATTAAGCAACTTTCGACTCAAATTATTCGCTTATTTCAAATGGAACACCCTATATTTTTTGGCACCATCCGATGTAGAATTTTATTCTTTTTCAATAAGTGTTACATCGTCAACCCTTTAAAATCAACCGTTTTCCGAGTAATTGCGATTTGTTACCCGCTTGATAAAAGTCCTAATTGAATCTACTTATTTATGAAAAATCCAGCAGGCTAGTTTCTAAAACGTCAAAATTATATAACAAGGCGAAATGGACATGTCAAAACAGTCCACTAATTATTAGAAAATGACTAAAATTTATTCCACAACCAGTTCACTCAAAAAAATACATTCAAGAAATTAGTTAAACTAATCGGAGCTAATTTTTATTTCACACGTTTCGCCTAAAATTGTCAGAGATGCTCGAAGGACCAAATCTCACTAGTTATGGCCAATAAAATTGGTCTCTAATTCATCAAAATCTTCAATTTTCTTGTCTAGGAATATGTACATAACAATCTTTTTTCTTATTGCAAAACCGGTGATTGCTAATTATTCAATCGATTGCACTGTTTAATTGCTATAAACATATAGGAACTGAAATTGGCACCATAATATGCAATATTTTGTAAATGCTTTACGTTCGAACCAATTTAAATAACGATGATTGTTATTCAATTTTATCTATCGACGCAAATGGTTTTTGGGGAACATGGTTTATCGATGATGCGATGCAAACTGCTTTTAACTACTTGAATTCTGGCATTTATAATGGATCAACAATCGATTCATGTTTAATAGAATTTCTAATTTGTGGCTCGTTTCGGTGCCATCCGAATTTCACTGGAGACTTAAAAATATACGGCACAATTTCAACATTAAACTTTCTCTAGTGCGTTTGTTGTGACAAGAACAAAGCGACCACCCTCTGATGATGGTAGCAATGCGTGCTAGCAAAACGTTAGGACCGATTTTTGACAGACTTGCAATATTCTTAGAAAGCCTTAGCTGTTTTTAGCTGAAAAAAATTTCCGAAAATTGTCACTTTATTTTTGAACGTTTTTAAAATAAAATTAGGTAGGAAAAATAACTATATTTATTTATTACACTACAAAATAGTGAAAAATTGTAAAAACTCATAGCATTGGAACAATTTATAGTTCATGTTTTATTAGATAAATGTATCCCAAAATATGCGATGTGCACTTTGGCAACATGATCTTGATGCCCAAAAAAGGAAGAAGAATAAGAAAATCACACTGGAGGATTGTGACACCTAACCCTATTTGGACCCGATTTCAAATTTACAGATTTATCCTTAACTTTCACTTTCTCTGTGGCTCTGTTGGAGCCTGAAAAACCCTGATCAAAAATCCATACCAAAATGTATTAACCTGCCAGAAATTATGTCTGTTATTTGCCAAGTACACAATTTGCGGTTATGTAGGAGCAGCCTGAAAATCGCCCTAAATGGCTTGGTAGGCAAGGTAGGATCGAAAAAAACTACCCCAACGCAATCTCAGTGCCTGCAGAATGCAAATTTCTTGTTTGCAGAATCAGGTGAATTTCGCCACACCTTCATACTTTTACGTAAATCAAACCAAGCAGAATGCAGCCTTGGAAGTCCTTGACGCTCAGTCGAGGCCCCACAAGCCGAAAATAGAGCCGGCATGGAAGCCAACGCCGTCCACGGACAGTTCCAATTTGCTTCAGAATTACCTCAAACTGTCCAAAGTCAGGCTAACAAGTAAGTGGTTGAAATAGTCAGTGAAGCCCCCCTTGGCCAAGCTTAGCCTTATTATTAATTCCTTATGAATAGGATTCAAATGACCATATTCAAATATCATAAAGCATCCTGTTGGCAAACAACTGTATATTGCATAAGCACTATTATTCTGTTTCTCCAAGCATTGGTGGTAGTTACAACCATGGCAGGCTATGCTGTGGCTCCTGCGCCCTTCGAATGGACAGCATTTGCCCTAAGCATTGCAGGCACGGGACTTTTGTCCGGAGCCGCCAATGCAATAAACCAATTCCATGAGGTTCCCTTCGACGCCCAAATGTCCAGGACGAAGCATCGAGTGCTAGTATGTGGACGATTAACGTAGGCTGAATTTGCATGGCACTATTCATTATTTAACCTGTGTTATTTCAGCCCTTTGCATTCGATGGCCTTTGCCTGTGCAGCCAGCCTTAGTGGCTTAGGAATCTTGTATTATGGAGTAAATGGCCTCACTGCCACTTTAGGACTCACTAATTTGCTTCTATATACATCCGTATATACGCCATTGAAGCGAATTAGTATTCTGAACACTTGGGTAGGCTCGATAGGTAAGTTATGCTCGGGCTTCTTTAAGAAATAACACAAACATGTGGGGTGTTTTTCAGTTGGGGCTATTCCACCCTTGATGGGCTGGGCGGCGTGCGCCAACTCCTTAGGAGCCGGTGCTTTTCTAATGGCCGCCCTTTTATACAGCTGGCAGTTTCCACATTTTAATGCCCTGTCCTGGAACTTGCGCCCGGATTATTCCAGAGCGGGATACCGGATGATGGCTGTGACCCATCCCGCGTTGTGCAGAAAAGTGGCCTTGCGACATACTGTAGCTATCCAGCTTTTAAGCACGATAGCCCCTCTTTTGGACACCACGAATTGGTGGTTTTTGCTGGAATGCACCCCGTTGAATGTGTATTTTATTTATTTAGGTAAGACCAGATGTTTTTTACTTATCATTGCGTACTGGCTACTTCCAACTCCATTTTGCAGCTTATCAGTTTTACAAAGACTCATCGAGCGCAACTTCGCGCAAACTGTTCAGGTACTCGTTGATCCATTTGCCCCTTTTGATGGTGCTGTTTCTGGTTAATAAAAAAAAGTGGTTTGTGTTTAAGGAAACCAGTGAACAGACCGATAATGTTGATGAAGTACAAAGTATAATAAAATAGCAATAAAAAACTTGAGATATTTTTGTTTTAATTTTTCGAATATTTTCGGATTTTTTTGCGCTACCAAAAAAATAACTGAGCCCTAAAACTAGAAAATGTGGAAATCTATCCGCCTTGACTGGAACGGCACGCCCGCGTATGAGCTGGCAACCTTTTGATCTATTCCCGTTGACAACTTGTCTTCATCTATGTTAGACAATACAGCCGTCAATTTTGAATCAACTGAATTTTCCAGTCGTCCACTATTTTGTTTAATATATGTACGTTTTCATATGCATTTTACTAAATAGCTGTTGAAATGCATATAAAGTCGATTGTGCTCGACGGGTTTAAGTCCTACGGACAGAGGACCGAGGTTAAAGGATTTGATCCGATGTTTAACGCCATCACAGGACTAAATGGCAGTGGAAAATCCAATATTTTGGACGCGATATGCTTTGTTTTGGGCATTTCAAACTTATCACATGTAAGTGCCCCGGTTTACCATAAAATTCAACTGATTGTATGTTGCAAGGACCACGGACAACGCTCTAGGGTGTATATAACCTCTTAGGCCACACTATGCCCTTCCATTCCTATATAGTTGTCTTAAACTATCTAGGAATGGCTAAGAGAACCTTAAATTTAAAGCGATTTCGCCACAATTGCTCATACAACACTGCACTTTTACAGGTGAGGGTAAACAGTTTGCAAGACTTGATCTTCAAAAGTGGCCAGGCTGGTATCAACAGAGCGACTGTTTCGATTATATTCGATAACCAAAATGCCATCCAGTGTCCGCCCGGTTTTGAAAATACCAAAGAAATCACTATTTCCAGAACGGTAGCTATAGGGGGCAAGAACAAGTACATGATCAATGGAATCACGGTCACCGGCACAAAAGTGCAGGATCTGTTCTGCTCGGTGCAGATGAACGTGAACAATCCCCATTTCCTTATAATGCAGGGCCGCATTACTAAAGTGTTAAATATGAAACCTCCAGAGATCTTGTCTATGGTAGAAGAAGCCGCCGGGACCAGAATGTACGAGGTAAAGAGACAGACAACCCAAAAGTTGATTGAGAAGAAAGACTCCAAACTGGCCGAGTTTCAAGCGGTGATAAACGAAGAGCTCTCTCCTAAACTTCAAAAGCTGAAATCGGAGCGCGAACAGTACTTGAAATACCAACGAATTGAGCGCGAATTGGAGCACTTGGTGGGCATATACCAAGCCTGGCAGTACTTTGAGGCCAAGCGAAACTTTGTTAAGGCCGAGCAGGCGTTGGAGAACGGGCAAAAAACAATTACAGAATTTGGTGAAAAAATTGATCAGAACAAGGAAGCTGTGGATCAGCTGATGAAAGAAATTGAAACTATAACTCACAATAATAAATCGGTAAGCCGCCTTAAGTAGCTTATAATTAAGCAGAAATTTGATTGAGTTTCATTGCAGGAAGGATCCAAAGAACTGCAGGAAATCGAGGCAAGGCTGAAAAAAAAGGAAACTGAAGAAGCTAAAATAAATGCGGCGGTTAAAAAGGTGCAAGACAACATTGCGAGTGAGGAGAAACAGAAAAAGCAACTGGAAAAGAACATTGCTGGTGTGGAACAAACTATAAACACCAAACAAAATGAGCTCAACCAAGTAAGACTTCGTTTACACTGATTTCAGTATATGCCTAATCATTTTCCGGGCATACAGGTGCAATCTTTGTGCGAAACTATCAAGGAAAATGATCGAAAAAACACGGAAGCTTTAGCACTAGCAGAGCAAAAGTACGAAGCTCTTTGTGCTGGATTGGAAGTAAATGACCAGGGCGAAACGGAAACTCTAGCGGAACAATTAATGGCCGCTAATGAAGAAGCTGCAAGGTTCGGACTAAGTTTTTCTACTTTTCAGCATTCGGTTTCTAACGGGAATAGCGCTTGTTTAGGGCACGCACCGAGATCAAACAAGCATCCATGCAGTTGGTATTTTGCGAAAAGCAGTTGGCGACAAAGCAAAAAGACGCAAAAAGCAGCTCATCCGAAAATGGCAATGATAAAGCAAACCTGCGAAAAACGGAGACGAAAGTGGCCCAATTGCAGGTGGGTTTGCTTTAGAATTCAACTGTCTTGCAATTTAAAAGAACAATTTTTTCGCAGAGTTCCATAGAGAAACTGAACTTCTCCGAAGAACGAATGTCCGAACTCAGTAATCGGCGTCGGACTTTGTATCACGAAGTCCGAACACTGCGGGATCGGGTGGATAGTTTCGAGGCGCGCCATCCTCACATCGCATTCAAGTACAGCGATCCGATGCCAAACTTCGACCGATCCAGAGTGAAAGGAGTTGTATGTAAGTTGATTCAATGCAAGAACATTAGTTATGCGACAGCGTTGGAAACAGCTGCTGCTGGCAAGGTACGGTTGATAATTTGGCGCGTTTAAAAACATCGGATAAAACCGATTTTGGTTCTCTTCTTAGCTCTATAACGTTGTTGTGGACACTGAGGCGACATCGCGCTTAATTCTGCAAAAGGGCGCTCTAAAAACTAGAACTACTTTTATTCCCCTCAATAAAATATCGGCGAATAAAATGAGCCAAGAGACCATCAACTTGGCGCAAAAATTGGTAAGTTTTCAGTTGAAGCGCCGGCAAGTAGAGCTCAATTGCAACTTTATTAAAGGTGGGAAAGGAAAACTGCCTGCCAGCGCTTTCCTTAATAAACTACGACAGATCCTTGCAGTCAGCCATGGAGTTTATCTTTGGAAATGTGTTTATCTGCAAAGACATTAATGTGGCTAAAAAAGTGACTTTCCACAACTCCATTCGGAAAAAGTGCGTTACTTTGGACGGCGATTCGACGGACCCCAACGGTACATTTTTCCAATTATATTTTTATATCTTAATGATAATTTTGCTAATTAGGTATTTTGAGCGGTGGGGCCACACTCAAAGGCCAATCCATCCTGCAAATGATTGAGGAAATCAAACAAATCGAGGTACGTTTGCATGTCTATCTAAACCACTAATCAATCCTCAATTGTATAATAGGCAGAACTTCGCCAGAAGACTCAGGAATTATCGCAAATAGATTCCGAATTGAACAGCATGAGCAAAACCCAAGAACAATACAACACCATTAAGCACGAACGGGACATTGCAAAAAACCAACTTGATCTGTTAAAGCAGCGTCTGTTGAACACAACCTTTGCCAGAGAGCAGAGCGAAATTGACGATTTGAAGGCGCAAATAAGTAAACTTCTATTGGTTTCCACAATTTCAGTTAATATAAAACTGCTTGGATTTCAGCCCAACTGAAAGAGCAAATGGCATCGTGCCAAGATATCGAAACGAAGTCCAACAAACTGGCCGAAGGTCTGAAAACGAAAATCAATGGTTCATCGGGCTACAAAGAGAAACGTCTGAAAGACGCCAAAAACGAAATGCAGACAGCAAAGACCAAAGCGGATAAGAGCAAAGAGGAATGGCGACAGAGAGAACAAAATTATGAGACGCTCACTTTGGAAATTCAAGAGCTGCAAAAGAGTTTCGAAAGTAACAAGCAACAGCTGGTTGCACAAGAGGAACTGATTGCAAAGTTGGAGGAAGAATGCGCAAAGGCCTCAGAAGGATTGAGCGCGATGAAGGTGCACATTTTCTTCCTTTTTGGTGTTCAGCAAAGTCTTAATTTCTTGTTTTTAGGACGCTGTCAACGAAATACAAGCCGAAGTTAAACGATGCAAAGCGGCAATTACGGAGAAAAACAAAGATGTTCAAAGTAAAGTTAAACAGAAGGATCAACTGCTAGCTGAAAACACTGAACTGGAGTTGCAGATCAAGAAGCATTCACATGAAATCAGCGACCTAAAGGCCGCTTGCAAGACATCAAAACAACGCGTAAGCTTATAAAGGATTGCAGGGATTTTCTATAAACATATTGATAATCTTAGGAGCAAGAATACATAAAGAGAATTGGAAAAAATACCAACTATTTGGAAGGAGCGGAGAAATTAACAGATAATGAAGGCCAGGATTTGGAAAGGAGAATAAAAGTAGGCCGGGAGAAGAAACATACTCTTGGTCGGACTGTTAATGCTCAAGCGCAAAGCATGTTCGAAGTTGAAGAGAAACGGGTAAAGTGCTGCTGGAGTTTTGCAGAATTTAGCTTCAATTCACAGTTTTCCAGTTTGATGACATAATCCGAAAGCAGAAAATCGTCGAAGTGGATAGATCGAAACTGATCAGAACCATTAAAGAACTGGATAGGAAAAAGGAAAGCGCACTGAAGCTGGCGTTCGAGCAAGTTTCCAAAGATTTTGGTTCAATTTTCGCCACTTTATTGCCAGGAGCCAACGCCAAACTGGGCGTGTTGCAAGGAAAGAGCATTCTGCAAGGCTTAGAGGTAATTTCAGCGATATCGAGCACCTAAAATTGCATTTATGGAGGTTTGTTTCAGATTAAAGTCGCTTTGGGCAATGTTTGGAAAGAGAGCTTAACCGAGCTGAGCGGTGGCCAAAGATCTCTGGCTGCCCTATCGCTAATTCTAGCGATGTTGCTCTTTAAGCCGGCTCCTATTTATATTTTGGATGAGGTGGATGCCGCTTTGGACTTGTCCCATACCCAGAATATTGGAAGTATGCTCAAGTCCCACTTCAATAAATCTCAGTTCATTGTGGTCTCCCTGAAAGACGGCATGTTTAATAATGCCAATGTATTGTACCGGACAAAATTCATCGACGGGATGTCAGCCGTGCAAAGAACAGAAAACACTCATAAAAATCACTGAGTTACGGTTTAAAATTATTATTTTGTAAATGTACCTTTTCTACTTAATTTAAAATAATTTTGTTGCTAAAACTGTTGGTGTAGTTTTTTCCAGAAGCTGTCCCAGTTCAGCTAGGTTTACATGAAGCTTTGCGTTAAAGTGTCATTCTGGTTGAACCAGCATCCGACCAGTTTTTCTATTTTGATTTTCCATATACTTTTATGGCTCCCCAATATGCGCTTGATTGGCTGTTCTAGAGAATTTGAGTGTCTTTCCAGCAAGTTGATCGCTTTGAACAGCAGCTTTCCATAGGCATTGTCGCTGGTAAAATCCGCAACTGCAGACGCCATAATTTCGATCAGTTTATTCAGCACATCGTCCTCGACTTTTGAGCTTAAAAGCGCCTGAATAGTCGGGATATATTTGGGTTGCAGCTGGCTGATGGAATGCAAAAAAGCCCTGAAATTTTGGCTGTTATACACTTGTTTGATCAGTCCCCTGATGTTTTACCTGACGACATCATTCTGGAAGTCATTGCTGAGTGCAGCGATATACTGGATTAAAATGTTGATTTTTTCACTGTTTTCGCTGGTGACGAATTCTTCAATTAGGGCAGCTTTTAATAGTGCGGGCGCCGACTGGCAAACGGCTAGAAATACATTGTTGACCTCGAACGCGAACTCTTGCTTGGCCTAAAACCGTGGTAAAAATTAGGAAACGCTACTTTAAGTATGGAAAACTTTTCTTGCCGTGGGAATCAGCAAATATCTGATGTAAGACTCCAGGGCTTCGTGGCAACTGCCCGTGAAACAATCCCACACTGTCTGGAGCTCTTCCATTGAAATTCCTCCAATCAGGCCGCTGAAGATCGTCTTCAAACTGACCTGGTCCAGCTTGGCTAAGTCTTCTAGTAGTCCTTTGGACACAGTTTTTTCTATCGTCAAATTATCTTTGATCATTTCCCTGAGAAAGGCGCAATTATCCGGTTTGGATTGATCAATTATAGAATTTTCCTGCGGGCTTTTTTGGGACTTAATAGTGGGAAAGACTGCATCTTCATCACTTTCAGTGATATCTATGCATATTTCCGGGGCCTTGAGGTTGTTTTTAATGTCATTGTCCTGAAAAGTTTAATTGTTTAAAAGTTTCACTTTTTCAAGCTCTTCGACCGCTCAAACTGACAGTTTTTGTGATATTTGTTGCAAGTTGCCATGGTTATTGGGTACGAAACTGTCAAAAGCTCGTGGATTGTCGTGCGATTTTGCCGAAACCAGAGACAAATACTTGTCTCTGACCAAACATTCTGTGGTTTAATAGCGGGAATAACATGCGTGCGATCGGTACCGGGAAATTTTCGAAAAATCGCGGAATTTTTCCACTTTTACGCGGAAAATTGTGGAAAACCCGGAAGTTAAAGGTCTGCTTCATCGTTTTGCGGCATTTTCCCGACCGGTAGTGCGATTTTAGCAATAAAACCCGGGGTTTGTAGTCGAGAGGATTTTCTGACGTTCGTTGACAACCAGGACGCCATATTTTTAACAGCAAAGTGAGGTTGAGGACTGGATTTTGAAGTTTTCTTGGAGTATGAACATGTATTCTACAGAAAATGAACAACTTGGAGGTGAGTGTGATGTTTATGATGTTTGATGATGACTAAAGTTTACCCTTTGAATTGGGCATCAAATGTAGAAAAAAGTTAAAAGATCAACATTAATAGCAAATTGGGTAGATTTTTATGACATGTTTACTTAAAATCACCCCTGAATAAATTCCAATCGCTTAATTTGTGACTTCCCTGTATATGTAATTTTTAGCCCTGAGGAAGGCTAAATAAACCTATGGTCGAAACGTAGGCTTTTTTAAGAAAATAAAGAGGTTTTTTTTACCGTCCCAAACCCGCTAAACTTGATCCCAGTATCTTTACAAATGTTCGGGTTTATCAAGTCTTTGCGGTCAAATTTCCTAATAGATAAGTAGTCTTTTAATTAACGCCCTTTCGTGAAAAGTTGAAAATATTGGAGAAAAAAAAACTTTCTCAGTCCTTTGCAATGTTCCTCATTTCCTTCTAGACTAAATTATGTATAACAAAACTATCCCAAAAGCGGGTGTAGTGTGCTTAATACCACCCTGTTTTCGCCCTTAACTTGACCAATCCTTGACCTGAATACTGGTGGAAAATTGCCAAGGACCGAACTCAGAAAAAATTACACCGAGTTTTTCTTACCAATTGAAATAGGGATTGCAACCGATTGTATTCTTCGCGATTGCAAAATTCTGATGAACTGCATTCGTGGGCCACTTTCAGAAATTCTCGCAAAGGGCCTTTCGAGTTTTCATTCCATACATGCCTAGGAAAATTCATTGGAAACTATCTAATATTTACAGGAAACAGCAACAATTTTGGGTTACTTTGAGAAGATTTCTTCCTTTTAGTCTCTTCAAACTGGGACACAAAACGGTCGCATTCTATCGCAGATTTTTAAATAAAAAAGTGTTTTTTGAAGAACTTGACAAGAAAGCAACAATTTATTGCAAGAAACGTTATAAGTAGTAAAACTTAACAATTATTCGTTTTGCAGATTATTGTGCTTCAATCGACATGCTCATCCGTAGAAAGAGTAACGGTTTCCGATGCCATTTGGGCAATTTTCAGCTCTTCAGCCAGGATGGCGTTGGTTTTATGCTGATTTGGAACGTATCGCAAACCCCCTTCTGCATGCACCTTTTCCATATGCGCCTTCTCTTTGTCGCCGTGTACTAAAACCGGCTTGCCACTATCCACCTGGAAAAATTCAAACGTTTTTTTTTGGCGAAAGTTTGTTGGTTTCTTCAGTTTACCGGTTCCATCTCTCTTAAATATGTCATCAAATCTTGAAGTCTGTCCTCAAATCCTGGAGCAAACACTGCCGGATTAATCGCCATGAAAGCTTGGCCCAAATTGGCCACAGCATGCGATGTACCCCATCGTCTAACATGTGGACCATATGAAGAACCTTGAATGGAAGGAAAGGCCGTGGAAAGGGGGTTCTTTCTGACGTTTTGCGAGCATCTTCAGACGTATTAAAGCCGCACGTGGCACACAGGGAGAGATTCTGTTTTGTCTGTGTACAAACCTGATAAAATTCCGCAGAAAATTTCCACCAGCATTCCCAGTCCATATCCCTTGTATCCCGAATTGACTTCGGTTCCTCCTAAGGGCATTAGTTTTGCATATTTATACGCAATGCTTGGATTGCTTTCGGGAATGCCTGCGTCGTTCAGAGCCCATCCCTCAGGAATCGGCTCCCCTTTCCTTTTCGCGATTTCTATCTAAACATTCTGGTAAATTATTACAGTCGGTCTCACCCACATAGATTGAAAATACAAAAAATCTATTCTAAATTGTCCGTTCCTTACCTTGCCTAGAGCCACGGCGGTTGTGGCCATGTCCAGCACAAAGTTGTCGCCCTTTCTACCAGGCGCTCCCAATGATAGGGGATTTGTGCCAAGTGTTGCCTACAATATTCGATTATCATGGGGACTTTTGCTGGCGTTTTAATCTACCTGTTTTGCTCTGGTTGGCGTCATTAGGGGCGAAGTATTAGTTACACTCAAGCCAATTAGGCCTTGTTCAATGGCCTGCAGGGCGTACATCCCAGCGATTCCGTAGTGATTTGATCCTGAATTCGGCAGGATTAAACTGTTGAAAGTAATAGTGCGTATTCACTTAATACCTTTGGCTACCACCAGCCCTATTCCAACATCTTTCGCCTTACTGATTGCGATTTCCATGGCTCGCTTTCCAACTACAGCCCCCAATCCGTTCCTGCCATCCAGATGGGCTGTAGCCACAGTCTCATTCAGGGTAACTGGACTTACTGTTGCATCTGTAGTGCCGTGCTGGATGTCACGAATGTACATGTCTGAAGCATGTTTAGTTACAGCTTAGTGTGTTGGTTCACAGCCGTTCCGTTAGAAAACAGGGTTTATACCTCACCCAATCGGTTCATGCCATGGCTGTAGTGTCCTCTGTAATCCGCTTCTAACAGGTTGGTTGCCACCGTTTCTGCATTGTCGGCAGAGGCCCCAACAGCCAGAAAACAGTCTTTCATAAAACGCTTCGCCTCGGCCAATGGGGTTATCAATGATGGACCTATAAAGTTAACTTGCTGCTATATTAACGACCACTTAATTTGTGTGTGTGTGACTTTTGGGGCACGAAAGCTTTCTGGATTTTATAGTCTGACTTGATTTCTTTTGATTTCAAGTACTTACTATTGGAGTAACGTCGCTTCGGACCAGAGGGCAAAAATCCACCTTCAGATAGATTGGGATGGAACATTGAGGAGTCTTTCTTCATTGAAAGACATCCGCATGGCTGTTGGGGTTTCACGAGCCTTAACGATCGGAATGCCATTTATAGCTGGAAAATAAAAAAAAACAATTGGGAAAATGGATTGCTTTTCCCGATAGCAAAAAAATCAAAAAGCACACGTAAATGTCCTCTTCATATTTGAAATCTGTGTTAAATTTGCAACCATTTGATACCCCTCAGTTGCATCGTTGACCGGGAATTTTGGGTTTTTTCCGGAAAGTTTCCTGTGCATTTTGAGCACAAATTCTTCAAAAACTGCAAGCGATGGCAAGCTGTTTTTTCTGCACTGTTTGGAGGAAGAACTGGGCTTTCTTGTGGGCTTTTCCGAGTTTCATTAGCTTGGAGTTTTAATTCAATTTAAAATTTAACACCAAATTTATCTAGGCATTAATTTTGAAGAATCTACTCCTTAAATAAACTGGATAACAATATCTGCAGATAAGATCCAGTATAAAGATATAAATTGGGATCGACACTGACTTACCAGCTTGTATGGATACACTTGAAACGAAAACAAAACGAATCAACGTCCTCGGTTTTGTGAGCGATAATTCAAAAAGTTTATTGCATGACAAGGTTAAATGGTACCACTGAGCATTTAAATGTTTTTGATGCTTAAACGAGACCGTCAAGGCTTTATCAGTTTTGCGTTTGCTAAAATCCACTGTCTACACAGTTGGGTTTGTTTAAAAATCAGTTCAAAAGTTACACGGGGTCGAGTTGAATTAACATTCACACAGATAAAGCAGTCTTGAGTACACATAATATAGAAGTTAGGGACTCTTTATCAATTGATTTAAGTCTGAAGAAGTTGCAAAGTTAGGCAAATTGTTAGTTCACACTGTTGGCGACGCCCACATCTTCAGAGCGGGCCCTAAACCGAAGAAACGCCATTGGGTAAATGGTCAGATTTTTCTCATTTTGGTTCATTTGCTGCACTTCATCCATTCTATACAGTACAATTTTTTACTCTTTAAACATGATTGGGACGAATGATTGAGCAATTAACATGCAGGTGGCATGCTGAGCAACTGTTTCGCTTGCCAATCGTTTCAGTAGCTGTTCCCTAACTAAGCTATGCAAGCAAGCAACTTACCTGTTTCTAACACACTTGGAATGGTGTTGAGACACTTTAATCACACACAAACAAACAAACAATACGGGTAAATCAATGGACACTAAACTGGTCCAAAAAACATGCTTCTAGCTGGAGCTGGGATGGTTTTATCAATTATTAAACGCGAAGGTTACCAAGTCAGTCGCGTCAAGTTCCGCGTTTTCGAAATACGTAATGTTAGATGAACGCGCAAAATCGCCGTCAACGATTGGAAAATTGGGAAACCTTGGCCGACTGGCCGACAGTTTTTCCGCGAGCTTTTCCTAACCTTATAATATTGCAACAAATCGTCTAAAATGTTCGTTTATTCAGTTGGTTTGGTTTATTTTTACGTTGCAACTGAACTAACTGGGCGTCATGTAGAATCGCCGCATTGA